GAAAGTAAAAGTTACGTGTTTGGTGAAAAAGCTGGCTGATAAGCCTGATAAGCCGAAAACAGAGTTCTCCAAACGGGCTCTTAGATTGTCTATTTTGTGTCATTTAAACATTATAAAACTTATATTTCACTAAACTATCTAGAGCCCGTTTGGTAGCACGAGAATCGGCTTATTTGGCTGTTTCTGCTGAAATTTATGAAGTTCTGGCTAAAGTGGTTGCATCGGCTGATTTTGTTGATTTAAGAAAAAATTATTTTTAATATATATTTTATTAAAAAAATAAAGAAAAAGTTATATGTAAAAATAGCTAAAATGGTCATCTACAGTAACTTTAGCCAATACAGCCAAAAAAGTAACTTCAGCCTTACTTTTCCTGCTTATTACACAATTCAGCGCGCGAAAGCAAAAAATTACGTGTTTGGTGAAAAAACTGGTTGATAAGCTTGATAAGCCGAAAAACAGTGTTGCCAAACGGTCTCCTAGTGTGTTTGTACCTAATTGTTAAGTTTTGTATACTTGCTTGTTTTAGGAGGTCTTGATTCGCCATTTGGAAGTGGGACCTCCATACAATTACAAAAAATAGTTCAAAGGTTTCTTGGTAACAAGTAATTTTATTAAAGGTTATTAAAACTGCTTCCTTCAGGGAGCAGAAAGAAAAATTAGAGTGTTTAGGTGAATGTGCAGAAGTGATTCTGATGCTCTAATTTACTCCTAGAATCAGTTTTTTTAGAAGTTGGGAGAGACCAACTTCTGAAAACTGATTCTGATTGTGCTTCTGTTTAAAAAAGAAACAGAAGCAGAAGCAATTTCAAACACCCCCTAAGTCACTTTTTTTATTATTAAGTCACCTAAAGTTTCCTAAGTTGTAATCAACTATAACTCTATAAGTTTTCCAATAATCAATAAGTTACCCCTGAGTTTTGATTATGCTCACTATTTATCCCCTCACGTTAATATTTCTTAAATTAAATAATATATAACTGTCAAATTCAATAAATCTTGTCTACAATATCTACTTTTGAAAATAAAAACAATTCATCATCATTGTTGAAGATGGAGCCTTGTTTGGAATGCAGGAGTATATACCCGATCGGGTATGTTGGGTTACCCGATCGGGTATGAGGTGTTTGATGGGTCGAGTATTTCCCTGGTTTCTACACTCGATCGAGTATTGATCATTACTCGGTCGAGTATGCGTGTAAGGGTTACTCGGGTTATATTCTGGAGTTTATACTCGATCGAGTATGGAGGTATACTCGGTCGAGTATGTGTAAAAACACTACTCGGGCAGAATTCTGGAATCTATACTCGATCGAGTATGTATGTATACTCGATCGAGTATACAGGAAAAATTAACGACGGGATTAATTTTTGGGCCTGCGGCCTTAACCCTTATTTAGGCTTTCTTAAACCTATTTAAACATCCCTAATGTATCTGTAAACAAACTAGACGCTGGAATAATAATACATCTCTCTCTCGTTCGCCGTGGACTAGCGTAATCACACCGATTGCGTGAACCACGTAAATTCTTGTGTTCTTGCTTTAAATTTATCGTTTATCTTAGCCTAATCGTGATAATTAACAATCATAATTATAGGCCATAGTGGTTGGTCATTATTTTTTATGAGGTACTTGTAGAGCAAATATTAATGAATAGTTAAGGGAGAAGGCTAACGAGTAATACTCCAGAGATACAACGAAAACGAAGAAAGTTGTTTAAAACATTTGTTTGACAAATTCTAGGCACTTTATTCTATAATGCATATAAATCTTATTTGTAATTCATTGACATTTCTTCCTCATGTAGCAAAATAGAAATATTGAGAAACAAATGTGATTTATGATGATGATGATAACGATTATCTTGGCTTATAAGAAAATATACTTAGAAAAGTTTTATTGAATTTAACAATCCAAGAATCGGACTTATAATTTCTTTCATAAATAGAAGTTGTTACTAGAGTGAGTTTATTACTCACAATGTTATATTTAAGCATTTTTGTACGTATTTACGCTAAAATAAACTCTCCGCATTTAGGATGTTTTTATGACTGTTTTCAGTCCCAAACCAAATTAGACTTAAACATATTAGACCAGACCATATCAGATTAGACTTAAACAGACCTGATTGGATCAGATCAGACTTCTATAGTTATAAAATACACAGAGACCGAACATCTACTAGATCAGACCAGTTCAACAAATTTCAGTCCAAGTAAAAAAATTCTTACATCAACAAACTAGTCCAAGTAAAAACTATTCCATTAGTCACTTGTAACTATAATATTTAAGACTTTCAATTCAACATGTCACTATTTCAACTAAACATAAACCACTCATACTAAAAACAATTATACTTTTCACATTTTTATGTGCCTCTATACAATTAATAACATCATTTACACCTTATATATATATTCCATTCATATAAATAAGCCAATAGAAGCAATATTATTACACATTAATAACATCATTTACACCTTATATATTTCATTTACTAGTAAATTGGTCACGCTTTGCGCGAATGTCATATGCCCAACTCTCAAATTTAATAAATTGTGTGAAATGAATTTAACATAACTATCAATTAAATGTTTAGTTTGAGAGTTATATAATACGTAGTATAACATATTAAATTTCACAAAAAATGAGATGCAATTGAATTGGATATCGATTATCGTAAAACATTATGAACATGGAAAAAGTAATTGATGCGTGAATATAAAAAATTGAAGCAAGAAATTAAATATAAGTATATATTGATATGTGAATATAAAAAATTGAAGCAAGAAACATTATACGGAGTATTTAACTTTCAATGCTCAATATTGTTATACGAAGTATATAATAGTTCAAAAGAGCATTGAATAATGGTCATATACGTTTTGTTTTAATAAATTTGAAAATTTTGAAAAGTAACAATTTAAAATTTATCGGGATTAATGACATTGGGACCCACCCATACATAAACATTGCAAGACCTAAAATAAGCAGGGAAAAACGTTTATGAAAATATATTACTAAAAATTAAAATCATAAACTCATAAAGTGATTTCATGCATACAGTAGGGAATCATGCTAAAATCTTTTAAGCTAAGAGAGAGTAATACGGAGTATAACTTAATAATATAACGTTGATGATCAATATATGATGACAAGAAGGAGATCAGATCAGAGTAAAATAAATATATAGTAATTGATATGAGATGCCTCAAGTTCTTGAATGAGCATAAAAATCATGATCTTATTTTATAATCGATTTATTTCATTAAATTGAGGAATAAATGTTGAAAAATTAAAACCAATTACATTCAATGAACTGAATTGAAGCAACATGTTCAATTTAACAAATATTACAAAAGAGAAGAGCTGGACTTTAACACTGTTTACTAAGCTTGACGGTGCGTTTGATTATTTGACGGGTCAAATAAATGAAACACTCTAATAGCATATGGTACAATGATTTAAAGCTTAATGTGAAAGAAAGAAGTAAGCAATGAGCATTAAATGAGAAAACCGGCCTTTATTAAGATAGGTTAATATATAAATAAGTCATTAGAATATCTCCATTCATGATATTCAAATAAACGGATTTTCTAGTACACATAATTGCCATGTCATTCTTACACATTAAATTCTTAATAATCTCAAAGCTTAAAATTGTTCATCAACAATGATATTCATGTAGTTAGCTTTTTTATGACATGCATTAAATGCATTTAAACTATAATCTACAATAATTCGGGATTTGAATCTTGATACCGGATTCTCTTTTTAAATAATTCCCCTAAATAATCTCTTTCCCTCAATGTTAATCCTTGAAATAATCTAACACGTCATCTCATTAATCTTCAAATAATCGTACCAATGGTATGGCAGGTACTAACAATGATGTCACTGTTCTGGATAGATCTCTTCTATTTGATGACCTAGTTAATGATATTGTACCACCGTGTGTATTTAGAGTACAAGGCCATGAATACAATATGGGCTATTATTTATCTCATGGTATCTATCCACAATACGCCACATTAATCCAAACTATATCACAACCCAGTTCTATGAAGGAGAAGTTGTTTGCAAAATGTCAAGAATCTGCTCGGAAGGACGTAGAACGTGCATTTGGAGTTTTACAAAGCCGTTGGCACATAGTAAAAGGCCCCGCTCGCATGTGGAGTGCAACTGATCTAGGGAAAATAATGAAGACGTGTATCATCTTGCACAATATGATTATTAAAGTGAGGTTGCTCAAGGCATCAATCCGGAAGATTGGAGGCCAGAAAGCGGTGAAGCAGTTGAAAATGTGACCATTGAGCATGATTTTACTTATCTTATGTCGAGGATAAACGGTAGAATGAAAGAAATACAAGATAAGAGTGCATAAAGATCTAAAGCGCGATCTTATCAACCACTTGTGGGAATTATATGGTGGTCAGAATGAAGATTGAAGTGTCTTTGCCAAGTTATAGAGAATCAATATTGCATTTGAGTTTGTATTTTTTAATGGGAGTTTCCCCGTGGATTCTACATTGCAATAATCTATATTTTTAATATTTTCATATTCTCTGGTGTTTTTTCAATGGGTCAAATCCCTCATTTCAAACTGGAATTGTATATTAATTTCTTGCCTATCAATAAAATTTGTTTCAGCAACACATCCTTACTTTAACAAAAAAGCTATTTTATTAATACTCTAGCTTAAATAAAAATGTGTAATGAAGTGCTGAAAATTCTGCAGCGTACAATATCAAATTTGATTGTTTTACTTTTATGTAAAATAAAATTGCAAATGTGAGATGTTGGTAATTTTGCACCCCACAATGTTATGATAGCTTGTTTTTTCTTTTACACGTAGACTGTCCCTGCCTCCCTGGTGCCCCTAATTAAGTTGGTATTGGATTCATTAAGTTTACACATGAAGTCTTAATTCATCAAATCACACATGAAAAGCAAAGTTTACATTCATCATAATAAACAAGAAAAGTAAGATAATTCAATATGTGTTCAAAATTTAAAGTAAGACAGAAACTTCATGTTTTGTGTTCAAAAGGAATACGGAAACAATAAATAATGAAAAGAAAAGAATAACTTCTTGATCATAGAGTGTTCCTAGAAAATGTAAACTAAAACCTTCAAACTTTATTCCTCTTAAACGCAACCTGCATATATGAAGTTATAAAAGTGATCAAATTAATTTATGGACATATTCTCACAAATTAATAGTGAAATAAATTAAAACAATAATACAATATGAACACTTACTTTTATAGATTAGAAGAGACCATCATTATCCCATTCTTTCAATATTTTTGCCTGCATATATTCATAAGAAGCTCTAACGAATGGTGACAACTTACTGAGGTCTTGGTTCATGATGCGATTCTGGTTCTGCCTCCTTTGACCTTTTTCTTTTAATTCAATTTCTTTCATCAACACTTGCTTTCTAATTTCCATGCTTTCTCGATTAACATCAACTTGTTTCTCCAAAGTTGACTGCAACTTATTCAAGGCATCCACCACACCTTTTTCTTCGTGTAACCTTCGTTTTTTGTCTTTACAATTTTTTCTTCCTTGTGGTCGAACAATTCCATCGTTGTCAGTTTCTTTTGGTGGTATAGGATTTTCGGGAATAACATTTGAAGACTCGGTCAATGTTGCTGGAATGCCATCATCAGAACCTTGTTTATTTGACGCACCTGTCTTCGTAACAAATTGTGAGCACCACTTTGGATTCTTGATCAATATTTCCCAACAATGAAGAAATTTGAATGGAGTTGCATAAAAATCTTCATACAAGCGTAGTGCTTTTATCACCTATTAAAAGTATAGCATAAGCATGATAAGTCACACATGAAAAATACATTCTTGCAGAGCCATGCATTTCAAAAATTTCATGTTTTTGATAAAGCTACTGGTTCATGTCTTCTATGGAAAAACCATATCATGAAAATATGTAACAGTAAGAAATGAAATATAACAAGACTCTTACCAAGTCCTCCTTATTTGTACCACTTCGTGGGCAACGTTCCAACTGCTCATACATTGCGACAAATTTACTTACTCTAGATCGTATTAGGTGCCAATGGCATTGCATGCTATTGTTGTTTCTTGCTATCTTGTGATCTGGCCCCATTTTTTCCTTCCAAATTTCTAAGACACGGTTCCGCATGGCAGCATTTTTCTGATTATTACTCACATCAGCATCCACAGAAACATTTAGCCATGCCTCTGTTAGTGCAACTTCCTCTTCAATAGACCAATCCTTTCTAAGAATGGAAGGTTGAGGAGTAGAAGGTTGAGAAATGTCAGGGTTTTTTGTGTCCTTGACTCTCTTTTTTGATGCCTTGGTGGTCTCACAAATTGGAGAGGTCATAATGGGTGCATTCAACAATTCTTGGTAGGAGAATCCATGTGAGTTATTCTGCTCAAAATGCAATGGAAAAGTTCCATTTTTTGGATCAACATGATAGATGGGTGGAGTGAATTGGTTCATATTGTGAGATGGGATAAAGTAACCAGAAGGTGGGCTGAAAGTATTCGGATTGTGTGATGGCATGGTGTAAGTGGGAAGAGGATTAAATTGGTTCATATTCAATTGGGGTATGGGGTAACTAGGAGACTGCCTGGTATTCGTAAACTCAAAGGGTTCTTGTGATTCCATCGAAGAAATTCCACTTTTGGTCCTCCGAGTTTTGCACCAATTCCACATTTAGTCCTCATCTTTCACTTTATCCAGTTTTGGTACCTGGCTATTGTTTTTTCGACCATTTTCGGTCCATCTATGGACATTTTTACTACTGAAAAAGGACTATATATGGTCAAGAAAACAATAGTCAGGTACCAAAAATGGATAAAGTGAAAGATGAGGATTAAATGTGGAATTGGTGCATAACTCGGAGGACCAAAAGTGGAATTTTTTTCTGATTCCATGTATACTGCTTTGATAGAAACCTGTAGGCATTAGATACACCAAGTAGCTTATTAACATTAATTAAACAAATATTGTATTAACCAGTTGGTATAGCCGTATAGTTGCTCCTATGAAAAGCTGGAATTTAGAAACACTCTATTTACATCATCATCTATGTTAGGCAGAGCAATATGGCTTCACTAGAATGCTGCTAGTATCCACCACAGAATTTATCAAATCCATATGATTGCACATCAATAAGATACCGTAAAGTATAACTACATTCCATTTTAATGTGATAAAATCCAGAATTGCAACCCACTATAATCACATTTATATACATATATATTCTCCACGTACTAGTTCAGTAACATATAACTACATCTTTGAATTATACGCAGATTTGGCAGTTGGCATAATTGATTTCTAAATCTGATGCATCGATTTCTCACATACAAGTGGCTTCGAAATTTATCACACCATGTTCTACAAATTTCCAGAAGTCATTAGCAATTTAGCATGTAATTCGATTTGTGGAGTGCATATTCCCAAAATGGCACTCAACAATCTGAAAAGTGGGGAATTAGTTGGCTAGAACCAATTCTTTTAACCTACAGGGATCAACTTTTCAAAATTTGAGAAGAAGAACAATATATGCAAATAAACTCCGTGCCTCATTTACATAGAATTTATAGTATTTAGCTTAGTTAGAAATATATATATTCAAATATACTTCCGTAATCAAGCATGCGTCAAAGCACATCTAGAGATAAAAGTAGCTATCATTAGAAGAATACTCACCGGATTAGAAAGAATTCTCACCAGAAAGATTGTATAAGAATACTTGGGGTAAAATTAACATATGTAGAACATAGTCTCAGTTTGTTCCGGCGAGGCGATGAGAGTCGAATATGTATACTAGATGCATTTGCGTGTGAATCGTGAGATGAGATAAGACTAGGTTTGCCCTGTAAAATATTTGCCGCCGCTTTTTTCAGAAATGAGCGCCAATTTTTTCAGGGGCTTGTGCGCGAGCGGGAGCCTTCACAGCGTGAAAAGTTCTTTCGGAAATTCAACAGAGAGGTTGAAAGCGTGGGTTCCATGTCATATTAAAAGAGCCAATAAAAGAATGCATTGGAGCTAAAATATTGAACACACTTTATTAACGGCTGATGTGGCCAAAGTTTATAATGTCAAAAGAGATGCATTGGAGATGCTCTTAGAAGCAATATTATTACACATTAATGACTCATGTAATAATAAAAATAAATAAATAAAAAACATTAATTACAGTATACAAAACCCAATATATCTTTGTTACATTGTATATAAACTATTTATGCCAGCAAATATAAAAAGTTACATTTACCCATTTTTCATATGTATTTTACGTGAGGGAAAGGTGGTAAACTAATTACACTCGTTTATAAAAGGAAGAATACATCTACGGAGCATTGAATTCCCGATTTCAACCTAAACGGACTTTGAAGGCTCTGGCGGCAATATACGAAGATTTAAACTACTATTTCACATTAGTTTTCTACATGTGTATGGAAGCAAAAATAAGCAATATATATTGTCATCTTGTTTTAAATATATAAAGAAGAGAATCGGAAATATTTGCAAAATTATTTTTCTGAGCAAGCATCGTAAGGAGTTTGCGTGTAATTTAAAAATAGGTTACATAGGTAAGCAAACGATATATTTTATATTTTACATGCAAACCATTTTATTGCCCTAAACTTTACATGCAATCATTTTGCATGCAAAGTTTTAATGTGTAAACTACCAAACAGGAACTTAGAGTACCTATAGTGTCAACCTTTATAATAAATTTAAGGATAAATTGAAAATAATAATCTCAACTATTGTCGATCCGTTACAATAATCTCAACTATTGATTATTTCTATATCCCAACTACATGGACCGTTCATTAATAATGATCCATGACCAGGTATAACTTGTTGTAACATGTCAATTTTTAAAAAAAAAACACTAAATGTACTCTATATATAATCTGAATTATGCTCGTTCTTTTTTAGTATTCTCAATTATCTACTCAAATTTTTTAAAAAAAATAATTTTTTTTAAATAGCAAATTTTGAATTTTATAAATGAAAGTTTAAGTAAATCTAAAAACATTTTTCGTTTTAGAAAGAAAAAATGTGACATTTTATTTTTTATTTTTATTTCATGTTTTTTTTTGTAATTTTTGATACATAATTGTTTTTGGATTCTTTTACAAAATCGTGATTTTTTTTATTTTTTACTAATTTAAAATGATTTAATATTTCAGGATGAGTAGCTTTTAAGAATTTTCAAAAGGGGACTAAAACATGAGACAATTGTAAAAACAAGACCTATTGTTTTAAATTTCATAAATAGGACTAAATATTTGTGTTTGGACACTAATAGCCTTAATGAAAACTGCTGTAACATCTTATGCGCATCTCATCCATCCTGCTCCAGACATGTGCCGCAGACATCATTCAGACATGAGCGGCAACCTTCCTCAAGTGTCACAACCGTGCATCCTCCAAGCTAGTCCGCCGCCTCCGCTGTGTTCGCCGCCGGCATCCTCCATTGAAGTCGCCGTTCTCCGGCAAGTCCATGTAACCTTCATCGAGAATGTCACTTAATATGCGAGAATGCCACTTGGTATGCATAATGACACAATAATGACAATTTTGTGTAAAAATATGACATTCTCAATATGGCAATTTTAAATATTGTAATGACATAAAAGAGACATTTTTTCAAATAATCAATAATTATGACATTTTCTGATTCAAAAAGTGACATTTTCTTGAGAATCATTAGTCACGACATTTTGAGATTCAAATTAATCAAAAGTGACAACAAGAAATTCAAGTTGAGATATATCCTATTACTTGTCCTTTGGAAATCTAGCTCTTCATTTGAGTAATAAAATTACATCTTTATAAATTGACTAGCATAAAAATGACACTATTTTGCCAAACGGGCAAAAAACATGACATTTCATATATTTTAATTTCAAGGTGACCTTGTCATTTTAATTTATTTGTGACATTTTTTCAATTCAGTTTTAAATTTATGAAATTTTCAAATTCAAAAATAATAAAATAAATTAAAAATCCATTAAAAAGGTTTGAACACTCGTTGCTCAAAACTTGTTCAATACCCATCCCCTCCAACCTTATTCAATTGCCATCCAATTTATCAGATCTAATTGAATCCCAAGAGACAAAAACAGAGCACGACCAACAAGGAAACAGAAGAGAAAGAAGAGAGAAGAAGAGAGGAGAAGAGAAGAGGGAAGGAGAAGGAGAAATTACTTGATCACATGGGGAAAATCGCAGAAGGCTGGCGGAGACGGAGAAGACAGGCGGTTGCTATGGCTGCGATACCAACGAGTAGCGGATATGACTATGGTACCGGTGAGCGGCGGAGGTGGCAATGGAAGACTGTAAAATCGCTGGCGAACTTGTCGATCATGACCTGAGGTTCTGATGAGGAAGATGCAGATCGCTAATTTCTAATACTACGTATGTCGGAGGCGGTGATTTAATTAGGAGAAGGGCAAAAATGTAATGTGGAGTCCTATTTAGGGATAAATAAACTTATACTCCTGTTTTGGAGTTTTGTCAATGTTTTAGTCTCATTTTGAATAATTTCTTATTTTTTAAACATTTACAAACAAAGTATTAGTATTTCTTATCTTTTTCACTTTCTTAATTATACCGTAGAAGCATTACGGTGTATAGTTTCTAATAAAGATAACCCCTACTCCCTCCGTGTTTAAAAGTTCCCTACACTTTCCTTTTTTGGTAAGTTTTTCCTTTAAAAATACTCAATTATCCTTACTTTTTCTACTTTTTATCCTCTCCTACTTTTTCAACATCTCTCATACTTTTTCTATATTATTCATTACCATTACTATTCTTTCTTAAATCTTGGGCCATAATCAAACGTAGCCATCTTTTAAATACGGGGGAATATTAGCATAAATATATAATGGGTTAAATAGGTGTAATGCATAAACTTTGCGTTTTACTCTGTATTTCTTTGTTAATCTTTCAATTTTAAATTCATACTACTTAATCTTTCAATTTTAAATTCATACTACTTCAAATTCACAGTTTTCTCTTTTCTTTGTTAATCTTTCAATTTTAAATTCATACTACTTAATCTTTCAATTTTAAATTCATACTACTTCAAATTCACAGTTTTCTCTTCTCCAACGTGCCCCAAGAAAGTGAAAATGAAAAGAAAAGGGGACAATTCTCCCTTATGGGAGGTCCCTTTAGAAGAAGTGGTCCAGCCTAGGGGTGGACC